GTACATGACTTAAAAGGGGATAGCATGGCTCCAAAAGTAATCTGACTTGTGTTTTGTTTTGTTTTGTTTTTTCCCCTCTCTTCTTCAGCAAAGACAATGTCAGAAAACCACATTGGACTATGGAGAACAGCTCCAGCTCTCCTTAGAAGCTAGGGAAGGGAGAGAACCCAGAGGTCTCAGACACAGAAGTAATATTCTAATTAGCAAGTAGTGTGGCACAGACACTGACCAGGCATTGAATGGACATTGGCCACACACCTGGAGCAAGATTCTGGATACTGGCTATGCTGGGCACTAAATTTTAGCAAGTGAATAATGGGAAGGTCTGGAGGCATTGAGGGAGGGGCTGGAGCAGCCAGCGATGGGGCCCTTGGGAAACATGAGGCAGAAGCCACACAGACTAACCAATACGGAAGTATTCCAGTGTTTAAATAACTGGTATTCCATATTTCCATGCACCAGCCCAGCTTGGAAGAGTAAATACAGAGTGAAGAACCCATTCCTTGAGGGGAGGGATGCAACTAACCATTTTGTGTTCTCAGGACTTAACATGAAAACTCTGCTGCACCCACCCAGGGATATTGCCAAGGAAAAGTCAAGGGCAGCGATTCTAGGTCTGTTGTTGGATCGCGTGTGATATCTTGTCCCACTTTGCAATTTGGGACATGGCTGTGCAGGTGAATTGAACAAAGAAAGGCTACAATTGCTTTGAGGTTCATATAGAGGAGGGGACCCAGTGTCTACCCCAGGGTTCTGCTGCCCATTTGAAGGTCAACAGCACCAGCCCTCGCCATCTGCACTGCACTGTAGAGAGCAAGTGTCCCACCTAGTTTGCCCACTACAAGGGTTGGGAGAGCTTTATATACAAGATATAACTCGTCAGCATGGAGTCTGCTAAGCTGCCAGCACTCTTCTCTGTGGTTGGTGTAGAGAGTTAGGCTAGAGGTAGGACAGACTCTGGCCTCAAGACCATCAGATGCCCCTGAAGACTCCTGGATACACTGCAGGAATGGTAGTGTTGCAACTCTGCTGCTAGAACTTGCGGGTGGAAGATCTCAGGTGGGCTTGCTCTGGGTATGGACTGAGACCCAGCCACTGATCTGTGAGGACTGTGGGAGACCTCTGGCTTTCTCCAGATGTCATGATAGAGATGTATGAAACTGGATCCCTTATCACCTGACTTCCAGGGCTGTGTTCTCTTCCCTCCTGGGTAATAGTGATGTATCACACTGAGACCTTCCTGTGAAATAAGATGGAGAAGTTGACTCTCCATGCATAGAGGACTACAGGAAACCCATCATTAATAGTCATAGGTTTCAGGAATTTTCCACTCAGTCATTTACTCCTTTGACTCTGATTTCTATGCTGTCTGAAGATAATGCTGAATTCATGATCTATGTTGTGATCACTCATTGATTTATTCATCTACCACTTTTATGTGTCAGAATCTGAGCTAGACCCTGGGAATACAAAGATATTATAACAGGTTCTCCCCATCTGTCTCTAAGCTGTGAGCCAACAGACTCCAAGCATTAGCTTCCTGACAGGGCACAAATGCCCTTTAATCATTCCATTCAAACAGCTTTTCAAATGTCATTTCCAAATTTCAATGATCCAGCTCTAGATGGACCAGGATTAATTAAATCAGTATACTTATTAAATACCCCATGTTTCTGACCCATTGTCCTGAGGCTAAATTTAGAAGCTTGAGTTCTTCCTTCCCATAAGGCTAGTAATTCCCCACAAGGCTCCCTGGTTCTTGTAGAGGGTTGAGTGGTGGCCCCTAAAAATATATGTTCATGCTTTAACCCTCAGAAGCATGCATGTGACCTTACTTAGAAAGTCTCTGTAGATACAGAGACTATTAAGATCCCAAGATGAGGTCATGCTGGTTGGAATGTCTGGGTGTTCCCTAAATCCAGTAATAAGTGTCCCGAATAAGTAACAGAAGAGGAGACTCATGAAGGAGAGGGCTGTGGGAAGACAGAGACAGAGATGCGTGGGAGGCAACCACGAGCCAAGGAATGCCACAGCCACTAGAGGTTGGAAGAGCAAGGAAAGGCTCTCGCCTAAAGCCTTGGCAGGACCACACGGGAGTGTGGTCCTGCCGACACTGATCTCAGAATTCTGGCCTCCAGAGCTGTGAGAGAATAAAGTTCTGCTGTTTTAAGTCACCCAGTTCCTGGTCATTTGTTACAGCAACCATGGGAAACCAGCAGAGTCTCTCACAGACCTACACTGCTGGAGGTGTCCTCACCTTCTTTCCATTTAGACATGACTTCATATGTTAATGGTGGTCCAGGTATTTAGTGGACAAAACTGCGTTTGGTAACAATTCATTTCCACAATCTATGACTCTCTTTTGGAGCTGCTGATCAGTACAAGACAACCAGTGTTACTTCCCCAACTTGATTAGACTCCCAGGAAAGCAAAGCTTATCTGTGAAGCCCTGTGGTGGGAGCTAAATGAACCATCCCTGTTAGACATTCCAAATACAGGAAATTATCAGGACGCCATACCTGATATTTCAGGGTTTGGGGAATGAGGATGTCAGGCTGGAAGCACTGTCCTGGGGCTTCCATGGGACAGGAAAGGCTTAGTTCTGGGAGAAAGGAGCTCTATGTTCCCTTTATAGAATGAGTACTATCGGTCACCTTCTTATATTCTCATTTCTAACTTGGGATTCATTTAAGTGACATTTTATTAGAAGGCTGTATCACAGGGTGCCCAAGGAAACTCGTGCCTAGAGGCTCGGGCAGCACCTGACAGATAGTGGACGCTCCATAAATGTGTGTGTGTGTGTGTGTGTGTGTTTTAAGATTTTATTTATTTGTCAGAGAGAGAAGAGAGTGAGCACAAACTGGGAGAGTGGCAGGCAGAGGGAGAAGAGCAGAGCCAGCAGCCCGATGCGGGACTCGATCCCAGGAAGCTGGGATCATGACCTGAGCGGAACGCAGCTGCTTCACCGACTGAGCCACCCAGGGCATCTCCATAAATGTTCTGTTAAGCTAGAATTGATTACATTTATTTCTGAATCCATTTTCAGTTTTCTCCACACATTTGTCCTGTTACATGAGGCCACTGCTGTGATTTCTCTTCGAAATCAAGAGCTGCAAGACAGGCAGAGGGCTCGGGGAATTTACGAGAGTGGAATGAGTTGTGCTTGCAGAGACTATGACTTACCTGAACTCACAGGACCCTCGGTTTTGTGTCCCCCCGGTGGCTCTGAACGACCTCTGCTTTGTAGTAAAGACTTGTGCACGCGCGCATGCGTGTACGATCTTAAAAATTCCTCCAGGATAAGGACGCGTCTCCTCCGCACGTCTCTAACCTCCTTCCCCAAAACCAGAGTGTCCACCAAAGTCCCTTCCACGTAGAGGAGGCTGAAAACCCTTTCACCGAGCCCGGATGTTCTCATCTAGAGATGGTTCAAGGCCCGTCTCTGGCCGCCAGCTGGATATGGTGGTAGGTGACGCAGGGAAAGCAACCATTAGCTGTGGCCACATCATGTTACATTGCTCTTTTATAAACTTTCCGTTTCTGTCAGCTTTATTCTTGGAGGCTTTTCTCCTTGGTGGTGATAAACTAAGATGCTGCTGGCTGACCTGCGTGGCTTCGTGGATCATTTGAGATCTCCTCCCAAGAACAAATTGGAAGGCCCTGCATTTTGTCTGCCTGGTCCCAACCATAATGTATTTAAATGCAGCCTCTTGCAGTTTATTTAAGTCAATTAGCCCATTCTGTGGGTGCGCGCCCCAGCGTGTTCTTGCTCTATTTCCAGACTTTCGTGCAAGTATGTTTAGCAATTGAATTCTTCATTCTATAAAACTTGAGCCCTGCCTTTCAGGAACCAGTGCTTTTCACCCATGGTTGGACTACATTGCTTGGAGTATTTAGGGGTAACAGCATGCTTTTTACATGTGTTTATTTTTGTGTTGGTATTTTACTCCTTAATTCTGAAGTTTTGTCAATTTCTGAAAAAAAGTTTAGCTTTCTTTTCTTTTTTTTTTCTTTTTTTCTTTGGTCATTCTTGGATTGTATTCCATCACATTTGTAATACAGAATTTTTCTGAGATTGCTTTATTCTTTTTGCTTAAGAAGGACTCTGCCTGTCTTCATTAAAACACAGACGTGTACTAGGAAGTTATTTTGTTATGAGAAAACTGGCCTCTGGAGGGCATTGCAAAGTTGATATGCCGTGGGGCTACTTGCTTCTATTTCAAATACTAATGGTAGTTGGATTATAGAGCAGATGCTTCATCAGTTGCTAAGGTGGGAATGCCTAGGCTCCCAAATTATATGTGAGCATTACAATTTGGGAAAATAGGAAATGAGAAATGTCTACCTAGACCATTAGGTTGTTTTAGGAGAGGCTGATCCATTCTTGCAATGAGAGGCACAAAGTGACTTTGACCCAGATCTTGGCTTCTCGGCTTTGCAAAGGCTTTAGCTGTGGAAATGCACAGGCCAGGTGAATCATGCTGTGTTTGTGCAGCCCAACTGTGATCAACTTAAAACAAATTTAAAAATTTAAAAACAAAAAACAAAAAACCAACAATACTTTTTATTTCCGAGTGCTCAATAGATACTTATTCATTTAAATTAAATAAATGAAGATCCGGAAATTTAAATATTATTTTTAAAAGAATAAAATAAGTTTGCCAACATTGCCTTTATTTTTAGAGGCGATGACAAGCGTACATTTACATCATACATAGGAAAAGCTGTGCTCTACAGTTAAATATTTGTACCATGCAAACATGGCTGCAGCCCCAATGCAGCAAAGACTCAGCATTTTATCATAACCCCCGAACAGAAACCTAAATCCCAAATCCATCAGGAGTAATGTAGATTTTACAAAAGTTTTCATGGGGCAGCAGGTATCACATAGCACATTTTAAATTGATTTACCACTGCCTCTTTTTCCACAAGACCCCTGCCCACAGACTTCTCGCCCCCCCCCCCCTTTCTAGGCTGCTTACTCACTGGCAAAGCAGTACCTGTGAGCTGGCATCTGGAACTTTCCCAGCTGCTTCTCCAGGGCACTCTGCCATGTTACACCTCTCTCTTCACAGGGCAGCTCTTTCCCTGCAGTCTCTTCAACTCCATTTCCAGCTTCTTCTGCTCTGAAGGGCCCTGATTCCTGCTTGGATTTCTGTGATGTTGAGAATGTGTTTGATAAGCCGCGCAAAGCCTGAGGGTGAGCCGCTTCCTTGAGCTTAAACAAACCAATATCAGGATGTAGTCGTGTCTGGAAGAGGGGGTTGGTGCCCAGCGTGAGCCTCTGGCTTCTCCTTGTTCTTAATCAGGGTCAGAGTTAGCCCCCAAGTCATGGGCAACCAGACATAGGCAGCTTTTGCTCCGGGGGTGGTCGGGGGGGCCCTGACTCCTGCTGTGGGACTCACGGGAGTAGCAGTGGGGTTCACTGTGAGTTCACCTGGAGGTGGCCTAGCACAGAGGTGTGGACATGGCCAGCCTCCTTCACTGCCAAGCTCTGATCACACAATGGGCATCTCCAATGCTGCTGTAACAAATCACTATGAATTTAGTAGTCGAACACAACATGAGTTTATTAACTACAGTTCTGGAGGTCAGACGTCCTCAATAGGTCAGCGGGGCTGCATTACTTCTGGAGACTGTAGGATAGAGTCCATTTCCTTGCCTTTTCCGGCTTCTAAAGGCTGCCATATTTGCTGGCTGATGGCCCTGCACCACTCTGCCCCCTGCTTCCTTTGTTACATCTCCTTCTCTGACTCTGACCCTTCTGCCACCCTATATAGGGAACCTTGAGATTGGGTTGGGCCTGCCAACCTAACCTCCCCACCTCATGATCTTGTCATGTGAGGTGACTTTCACAGGTTCTAGGGCTAAGATGTGGGCATCTCCGAAGCCATCATTCTGCCTAACACACACCCATTCATCAGCTTCCTGTTGTTTGTTTGATAAGGGGTCCTCAATATTGCTGAGCCTAATTATTTGCAAATCCAAAGCATCTCCACTTGAATCCATCCCATTTTCTGAAGGTTTCAGGCCTAGCTTTTTTTTTTTTTTTTTTTTTTTAACCATTAGCAGTGGAGTCTCCCATGGAAAGACACAAAGAAAATAACCGTCTTCCTCAGAAGCAAAAAACAAGATGGCTATTTTCAGTTTCTTATCTCCTTAGGAGTTACCTCAGAGACCCTTCCCTTTTGTGTCAGGCTGGTCAGTCTTCTCATGATTCAGAACCTTTCAAGTGCATGACTGAATGATACTCACCATTGCTAAGTACCAGTCAAACTGGCTTCCAAATTCCAGATCATAGTTGAAGCAGTTCTTTTGACTCTGGGAAGCTTGGAATCTTGTCTTGTTGCCTAAACTTGCCCAACAGCTTTTCATGGAGAGTAGTCCCATAAGGAATAATCTACACCCTGCCATGTGGGGGCAACAGCTGTAAAATTTTCAGAGCCAAGGCTTTGACAGTTTGCTGCCTTCTTTCCTCTTCTCAGACCTAACCAGCATATTATGTGGCTGGAGCGATGTGGATATTGGCTGTCTGGGGAGACTTGATGACCTCTAGTACAGACCATGTATGGATTCCATTTTACCCTATCCTTCTCTCATTCCACTCACTGACACTCACAGATTTCTGTTAGGATGGGTCAGCCAAGGTTCAAATGCCTTTTCTCCCGGGATTGACATTCTATTGCTTGAAAACACCATCAGTGTCTGGTGCATCATTTTTTTCCTGTACATACAACATGATCTTTCCTATCTCCTGTCTCCACGTGTTAGACAGGCTTCTGATAGACATTCCAGGCTTGGGGTGATAGTTTAAGGGTGTTAAGAATAATTCCTCAAGCATTCTTTTTCTCCATTAGCTCTCAGGAAGGATTGATGGTCACAGAAAGAATACTTCAACAATTCAAATAAACTGTTTATCCCTCATTTCCAACCTCTTTTTATCTTCTAAGGACTTTGCATTATTCACTCTTAACATCCTCCGACAGTATTAAAAAGTCTACATTGTATAGCCATTGTTTAGAACTCAAAAGACTTATATTCTAGGGATTTTAGTTAGTCAATGGTAGAGATTCATACTGTATGGGAATTCCTAAATCCAGGTCTAGGGCTCTGACATGGAATTTCCATGAACTGCTTCCCAATTCAGGCTGCAAATACATTTTCCTCTCTTTGATTTGTTCAATAAAATGCTGAGCACTCACTAGCCTTGTAGTGGGAAAGACTGTATTTCCTTTTGAGCCACCTCACACAAACAGGTGTGCCATTCCCTGGTGGGTAGTGGGTCAGTCAAGTTGCCAGGCCTAAGTGAGGAAACAGCGAGGGTCTCATTAGCTCACCACACTTGCCACGTCTCAAGGCTCAGTTGTCTGCATTGCAGTGATTCCTTGCTGGCTCAGATACCATCACAGACCTTTGAGTGCCCAGAGAAAACAAGGACCATCCACAGTGCCAAACTCAGCCATGATACCCCTGGGCTTGGGATTTGGAGATTGGCATATGGTGCTCAGCTTCTCACTCTCCAGGCCTGTGGTCCTCCCCAGGGGGGGCCAGGTCTAGTCACAAATTCATAACTATCAACATCTTTCTTTCTGGGAGTCATCTGAGGAGGACAGGAAGCTTGTGATTTCTCAACCCTGATCTGATTTTACTTTTTTTTAAATTTTTTTAAATTTTATTTCATTATTTTATGCTGGTCACCATTCATTACATCATTAGTCTTTTATTTTACTCTCTTTCTATCAGACAATCAGCTTAAGTGAATTTGCCTCCAGTGATTCTAAGTGGTACTTCCCCCATCCCAAGAAAGGCTGTGATTCTGAAGTGCCTACAACAACCCATCTAGGTGAGCTACATTTAGAGATTCTAAGTTCACACCCCCAAAACTTTCTTACAGAGAAAAAAATGTTATGATGTGTAAATATGTTTCATGGGGGAGACTTAGCTTTTTTGGTATGTCTTGAACCCTTTTTCCTCCACCTCTTTCCCGCTCAATACTGAGCCCCCTTAATGAGACCTATTTGCTCCGTTTTATAGCTTTCTAGTAACTCTAAATTGTCAGGAAGTCTATTGCTAGTTTTAAAAACTCAGCCCTGATTACTGAGAAATTTTGGTCTCATATTTTGCTTAAAACTGTTCTTCCTCTCCCTTCTCACACTTAGAATTGCTAGTCTCTTGATTCTGGAGGTTTGGAGCAGAGAAAGAGGGTGGAAAACACCACGTTCCTTTTCCTCTGGGCTTTGCCTGAAGAGCTGGAAAGAAAGGAGGAGGAAATGATCTTCCTTATCTGTCTGCTCCTTAGGAGACCATGAGCCTCTCCTTGGTTGATTCTGACTCCTACTCAAATTCATTGTCTGTTGGCTCAAAGAGGGAAAGCATTGGCCAGGTCTCTTGTGCATTGGAGGTTGCTGGTGAGATTCAGTTATCACTGATTGGTCACTAGCTAGCAGCATCCTACTGCTGGCCTCTCAGCAGTGAGCCTTTTTGTCTTTCTACTTTAGGCTGTCCTCATCCCTAGCAAACCTGTAACACACTACCTCCCACCCTCCACAATCTTATCTATCATTTCAATCTCCAACTCTGTACCCACCAACAATTTTCAGGATCTATCTTCTATGCCTCTGAAGAGCTAGGAATGGAAGAACAACCTTGCTTCTCTCCACCTGGTCATACCTTTACACCATTTCTCACTAATGCAGGTTCTCCTGCCAGAATGACACAAGTAATGCTTAATAAGCATAATGACCAAGGAGACATGCAAATAGAATTAAATGTTTCTCTTCTTGCAGATAAATCTTATATTATTTTATAAATGGATCTCTTGGAGTCTTTCTCCCTAGACTATGGAAAGGGATGGAAATAGTTTTTCTCTATGGACACTGTACACAGGTGCTAAAATTATATAAGGTTAACCTCTAATAACTCATCCTCTCTGCTAGTCTCTCTTTCTGCTTTTTATTTATTGTACCCTTCACTACATAGTGGAATTCATTTATCCTTTCGTGTCATCAAATATCTTAGTATTTATTTTTATAAATTTTGGGTTCTCTATCTCTCTGAGATCTTCACCACCTTCAAATTATTTTTGAAAATTATATTTTATTCTAGGGGTGCCTGGGTGGTGCAGTTAGTTAAGCATCTGCCTTCAGCTCAAGTCATGATCTCAGGGTCCTGGGATTGAGCCCTGCATCGGGCTCCCTGCTCAGTGAGGAGTCTGCTTTTCCCTCTGCCCCTCCCCCCGCCCATGCACTCTCTCTCTCTCTCTCTCTCTCAAATAAATAAATAAAATCTTAAAAAATTATATTTTATGCATATCTTAAATTTCTTAACTTAAAATTTAGATATTTAATCCAAGTAGAATTTATTTTTATGTACAGTGTGAGGTAGGGATTGACTCATAGTTTCTCCAGTATCACATTCATTGACTTCATGAAATTCTGAATCTTTTGCAGGATTTGCAACTTTCACTAAGATTGATTTAATTTTTACATTTTTACTTCAAACAATGTACAAGATCTGCCTATCAGCTAAGAAGGGCAAACAGTGACTGAAAAATTGATGTAATTGGAGGATGAATGGCTTCAAAAGGGAGAAATAAGAGAGTATGCTTCTTGGTCTCAGAACTTGAGTCAATATTTTTTGGTTATGATGATCTTTCTTCTAGATGTAATCTAGATGTACTCTTTTAACAGCATATCTGGGTGAGGAGCATCCTGTACCTAGTTTGAGTGATCAAGCTAGTGAAATCTTCAAAGTGAAAAGGGCTGTTATCCCTGAGTAGCTCTATACTCACTCAATTCTTCTGGGTGGAACACAGTGCAGCATTTTGCTTCTGGAATGATGTAGGTGCCACAAAACCTCCCTGATAGTTAAAGCAGAGGAGACAAGGCATGTTGCACAGTATGGATTCTCTAAAATCCCTATTATTCAGGTACTTCCACAAAGAAAAAACAAAGGAGGGTTTTTTTAACCCCAGACAATAAAATAAATCATATAGAGAGAAAACATGTATCTTGGCTGAAAAGAAACTTTGGTTTATATGCATTTCATTAAAGACATTATGTTAAAGTTCCAACTACTACATTTTGAAATTCAATCAGTAAATACCAATTGAGTTTAGCTCGCTAGGACCAATATGCAAACCTAAATGGAGAGGAGAATCCAGATGTAAATAATAGTCATGATTTTATAAGCTTCTCTTTCCACAAAGAGATTTTTCTAGGCATGAAGACAAAACACTTATTTCTGGAACATTAAATAATTATACAGGAAAATAAATGCTGGGAGAGCAATGTTCTCCAAAGGGAGTGTTTACAAGGAGCAGCTTCATAGAGGAGCTGAGGAGTCAGCAAGCTCTAGAGAACTAGGAAAAGAAGGAGGGGCTATTTCAGGAGGGAGAAACATGAACAAAGTAAGAAGGTGGCAACACATAGGTGTCATCTTTTTGTTTGACTTTATTTTTCAAAAGTCAAATGTGAGGTAAAAATGACATATTTTCCTGGAAACTGTGCATGAAACATTTAAACTAAATTTGCTTTTTGTTTATAAATATTAATAAATACTATGAAAGGGCTTTTTTCCTCAAATTTGCCCTGAAGAGTATTTGTTTTCCAAACAGGAACTGATTTCATTATCCTCATCATTGATTCTCATATGCTTTATTTTAGTACCTTCTCCAGCTTTATACAGAAAGAAAATTATTTAGGAAACACACAGAATATAATCTGAAAGACACAGTTGTTAGAAATCTACGATAGTTATGGATGGCTCCAGTGAATAAATCATCTCGGAATACAGTATTTGACAGACAAGTCTGTTGAACACCAGGTATTAGTGAAAGAGGCTTAAACAGAAAGTGACATGTAAAATAATAGCGTCAGCAGTCAATGGACTCCATGTTTATTCCCCAAGCATAATAATGCTTTGAGTGGCTACCTGAGTTGGTCCCACACCTCCTTCCGCAAAGATCCTCTTGGTTTTGAATTGCATTCTTTCTTGCTCTTACCATTTACTTGATTTTTCTACCTTGGGGATGCATCCTTTCCCACTTTCAGAGCTCCTGGCAACTCACTGAACCCTTTGCTATGTCCTGGCTTCCTTCTCTCCTTTCCTCCTTACTCCCTCCCAACACCTCCTCACCCTTTGTCTCCTCCAACTGTATGCCGGTTCTAGTTCTTGGAACCACTTCACAATTAGTGCACAGCAACTCTCCCCACCCTCAACCCGCTTTAGAGAATCTCTTGAGGGAGGGGAGAAAAAAGCTCTGCAAAGCATTGCAAGCCCAACCAGCTTTGTTCCACAGCCCCTCTTTTGTACTGGTTTAGGCCCTTAGGTTGAAATGGTCAGGAGGCATATATAATTCTTGTTCCCAGGTGCCC